TTTAAAGAAGGAACCTAAGGACTACATGCCTAAAAGAGTAATCACTGTAAACCAAATCACAAGCAATTAAGGTTAAAACACTTCATGAGTCTTCCACACCTGCCACAACTTTTGTGCCACCCACAGAATTGTTGAAACCATCCTGATACACCACAGGAGACATTCATAACTTTTTTAACAACCCTCATGGCCGGGGCACTGGCAGTCACAGCAGATGGCAGCTTCAGTGAAGCGCAGCAGCTGAGCTAGCTGAGCCACAGCCCTGACCATGCCCATCACTAACTGTGTAAATATATTCTTTACATAACCAAGGTAGTTTATAAATCGCTGCTTGTTCTTACCCAGTTTTGCATTTGGTTTGTTCCCACAAACACTCAGAATTTTGACTATATCTAGTTTACAGGTCCCTGAGATACCCAGACCCCTGTTAATCAACGTTGCACGTGGCAGCATCCTGCGTGGCAGTGACATAAGAATTGATGTAAAGTTTATCAGAATCTTCATATTAAAACCTCCCTTAGAGGGGAGAGAATGAGATGGGTAAATTCACACCTAACGGGTACAATGCACACTGTCTGGGGGATGGGCACACTTATAACTTTGACTCAAATGGTACAAAAGCAATTTATGTAATCAAAACGTTTGACCTGTAATATTCTGAAATTTAAAAAAGAAAAAAATACTAACGAAAGAAAAAAAAATGAGAGGAAAAAATCCTCCCTTAAATTCACCTCCAGTCCCTTCAAGATTCACCCAAACAATAATGACTGCTCAGAAGAGATTAGCCCTAAAGATACAGGGTAATAGGTTTATCTCAGATAGTGGTTTAATGCTGGTTTGAGAAAATTATTAGTCTTCCATTTTCCACGTTTCTCATTTCTTTTCAAATTTCCTTTTATTCCTTGAGTCTGTACTCATTCTAAAATGTATATTTCTTTAAGATTTTCTTATTCTTTTATTCTTGATTCTATAATTTGGTCTCTAAGATAGTTATCTTTTTGGTCAACTTTCCAATATGTTCAGGGCCCTTTGCCACCATACATTTTAGAGTTATTTATGATAAACAACTACATTATTTTACATATTAATTTTAATATTAATTATATGCATGAATTGAACATTAGCATCTACTTTTCAAACTGCTAATCTCCTGCATTTCAAAGTTACCATTCTTGATGTCACCTAGAAGAACATTTGGGAATCAAATGTTTTGAAAGTTTTAGTGGATATAGCACTAATTACATAACGTCTGTCACTGTGGTGAGACAAGATCATGAAAACGATTCTAATATTTTGAATCTGGTCTGCACCACGCACCAGCACTCTATATACACCTTTCCATCTTATCAGAAAACGCATAACCATGCTTAAATATGATTCTCCCTTCCAAGCCAAATCATAGTCTCTGGCCCTCTGTTACTTTAGCAAATTACAGGTTGATTCTATATATAGAATAATGAACAGTAAACAGCAGTCCCAACTGGTAAAGCGATACTTAGGATATGCTGAAAGGACCAGCACTTAATTTATTGCTTTAGCCATGTGTGTACAGACCTGAAGAGACAATTTCCTTGGGCGTCAGAACAGTGAGGTAGGAAATGTTAACCAGTAAATAAACTATAGTCACCATAGGTACTGCGGTAAATACGATTCTGGGAATTGTTTTTCTGGGTGTCTTCAGCTCCCCTGTAACATAAAAGAGCAAAGTCATAATTGGTAAAAAATATTCTTTTTAATTTATCTTTAAAATTGCTCCATGTTCCAAGTATTTAGTTGGGTTCTTCCTACTCACTTTACCACCACCACCACATGTGCACGCACACGCACGGACACACACATGCACACACACACGCACACACACGCACACGCACATGCACACACACAACACCTCGTTAGTGGGCAGCTACATACCTACCCACCCATAATTTGGTGCTAAGTGAAGAAAAGGGGAAAATTTTCTTCACTCTCTCCATAGGGGGCAAAATTTCTGAAGAAAGACATAAGAATGAAAAATGCAATCTGAGCCCACAGGGCTTGTACCATTTGAGTCTGTCTGTCTTCAGGGACTAGGCACTGGGTTTGGGTGGTGGGAAAAACCACGGTGAGCAAAATCTACATGAAGTTTAACCTCAAGAAGAGAAGCTACACATTAGTTAAACAATCACATAGATAAGAGTTAACAGAATGTCTATAGTAAGAGTTCATATGAAAAGGAACAGAGTGCAATGGGTATAAATTATGTGACAATTTGATAGTTCCCTTTGCTACCTGTGTTTTGTATATAGGTAGACTGGCCTTTTTCAGTTCTTCAAGTATATCATTTCCCTTCTTGCCATAGGGCCTGTGCTCTGATGTGGAATGTTCTCTCCTTTCCTAGTTGCCTAGCTGACCTCTACTCTTCCTTCAGATCTCAGCAAACTCCTAACTCGTTCTGGGAAAATAGGAGAGGAAACTCCTTCCCTGGTTAGCAAAATTGTCCTGTTATACATCCCCATAGCATCTACTGAAAGGAGTAAGCGTCAATCAAAATTTCTCTTTCCCTGTAGGCTCTTACCATTCCTTTATGCCAATATTACGTGCAAAAAGAGAAAAGAAAAAAGATCCTGATTTAGTATCATATACAATGGATTCTCTAGGACTGTCTTATTTTCAAATATTGTCCCATTTGTCATACCACTTTCTCTAGTTTTGCCGTCCTCTAAGAATTACTCCCTGATGCAAAGAAATGAACATCTGTAACCCTGTGGGTACAGGGGGCCCCTGTGCCCTGCCCACTGGCAATAGAGCAAGCACGGACACCTCACCCACTGGAAGCCAAGCCTGGCCAGCACACGAGGAAATTTCTCTCAAGAATTTGAACCAAACGTCAATGAGACTAAGAGAATCAAGAGAAAAGCAATGTAATGATGGTAAAAAAAAAAAAAAAGAAAAAAAGAAAGAAAGCAGGATGAGAAATCTTGTTTTTTTAATTCATAGAGCTTTCCTATTTCCTGTTGTTCCTGAGGATTAGTTGCTCAGATCTTCCTTGAAATACAGCATTATTCTTCCAGTAAGTTCCCCTTTCATCGGTTAAGCTAATGTGTGTTGGTTTCTGTTACTTAAAACCAAATCCTCCTGACTAATAAATATCTATCCTTTGACATACATGAAATTTTCCTTTTTTTGAGGCAGAGTCTCACTCTGTTGCCCAGGCTAGAGTGCCTTGGTGTCAGCTTAGCTCACTGCAACCTCCAACTCCTGGGCTCAAGCCATCGCCTTGCCTCAGCCTCCTGAGTAGCTGGGACTACAGGCGTGTGCCACCATGCCCGGCTAATTTTTCTATTTTTAGTAGAGACGGGTCTCACTGTTGCTCTGGCTGGTCTCTAACTCCTGACCTCCAATGATCCTCCTGCCTCAGCCTCCCAGAGTGCTAGGATTACAGGTGTGAGCCACCCTGCTCAGCCTATCAAATTTCTTCTATCTGCATCTGCCCAGGGGTTGAATGTAATGTCATGGGATACACACTAATATGAGCTGATTAAGCACTTGAAGAGTAAAGGATTAGAAAGCTCTAATTTTAACCTTGTGTTCACCACTTACTAGTTGAGGGACTTCTGGACAGTGCATTGGCTGTGAAGGTTTTAATTTTCTTACCTGAAATAGAAACTATCGAGACAACAAAAATTCCAATCTCAGGGCCTAGCGCATAATAAGTGCTCAAGAAATGGTTGTTGTTAATGAGTATAGTTATCAGTGAAAGCTTTGGAACAAACAAAAGGCCAATTTTTTAGATTAACTATACTTTCCTCTGGGCCTTTTACTCATTTGCATTATGTATTTGATTAATAGAGAGGAGGTAGAGATTAGAATTTAATTTATAATGAAGGGTTATAATAGCCAGACAGGTAGTGAATATCCTTGGGTCTTGAATGTAAAAGATGGGTATTCCTACAGCATGCAACGTCAGCTGCCTCAAATCACCATTTGACAGGTAAAAGTGTTACTTAGAACTTGGTCTTACTTAAAATGTATTTAGTAAATTAACAACTCCAGCACACATGGAAATTCCTCCAGCTTTGGTTTACTGCCAGCTGCTTGTGAGGAATTTCATCATAGCTTGGAAGTTAGTAAATCCTGTAAATCTATTTGCAGCTGAGAATAATTATCTCACAATGCAACATCTCTGGCAATGGAACAAGTTGAAATTGGCTCAAATAAAAGCCAGAGAGGGCCGGGCGCGGTGGCTCACGCCTGTAATCCTAGCACTCTGGGAGGCCGAGGCAGGCGGATCGCTCAAGGCCAGGAGTTGGAGACCAGCCTGAGCAAGAGGGAGACCCC